AACGAGTGCGTACCTGATCGATGAAGGTGAGGTGTCTCTGGATGGTGGATTCGTATTGTTCCTTCTGGAGCTGGAAGTTCCTGCTCAGCTCCCTCTCCGTCTCCTTCACGTGTCTTATCGTCAGCTCCCTCTGCTGGGCCTGACAGACATGACGCGAGCTGTAAGCACGACCGTCTAAAGCAGCTAAAAACAGCGACAAGTGTTAATCTCTCCTACCAGAGCGGTCTGCAGCATGTTGACGGTGCGTTTCTTTTCCTCCAGCTCCAGTTTGATCCTCATCATGGAGCCGGTGAGTTCGGCAGCAGTGGCCGACGCCTGCTCAACACCGGCCAGCTCCTCCTCAGACAGAACAGCCTGGAAGCACAGCAAAGCCAACATGTCACCTTTCAGTTTAGATAACACAACCAGGGACAGACTCACAGAACATCTATCCATAAATTTAAAGGGCTGGCTTAACTAGATGGTCCTCAGCAATTATATGGAAAAACACCTGCACACAGTCATGGTCATTTTTTAACCAGTATACCTAACTGTGCTTCCTTTACTTAAACATAATACATGTTTTGTTCTGTTAAATATTCTAAATCAAACCTTTTAAGAACCCAAACTGGTCAGAAACGTTCAAATCTGTGTCAGTTTGCTAAATGAAGCACATTGTGGCGCTTTAGCCAATAAACTCTGACCTCTCGGTGTGATCCTGAGGTGACAGAGCGTGGCCTCTCCTGCTCTGACTTCTCCATCTCATCCAGGAAGCTCATGATACTCTGCAGCTTGGCCTCAGAGAGCAGGGCGCCCCCATCTGGCAGCGCAGGGTGGTGGCTCAGCTGGCCGTGACGCTCCAGGTTATCAGTGGTCAAAGAGTTGGAGTCCCCGTCCTTTAATTACAGCCACAGCGTCATTGTTAGTTCACAATATTTCTTACAAGAAAAAACATAAAAATTAGTGCAATGTAACGCGCTGACCTCATCGATCCAGGCGTATTTCTCTTTGCGGTAGCACTTCGGCTCTGACAGCCTCTCTGGCTCCTCCTCTAACAGCTTTAGGGTGTCCAGCAGCTCATTGAGGGTGGTTTTAGACTGAGCCCTGCTGGACGAGGCTCCCTGCCTCTGGTCCTCCACGCTCACCGACCTCTGCAGGATCTCCTGGAGCACAAAGGGAGCAAATGTGTTTAAAAATGATCAGATGCGAGAATTAGCAACAGAAAATGCACGGTAAAACAAGGAATATTGGAAATTTTCATTTTTACCTGGGAACACTGAGAACCTCTGCGATTGGACAGTGCTGGGGAAACAGCTCTGAAGCTGAGCTCACCCAAGTCAGCCACAACATTTAAATTAGAGTCTGTGGAAACAAAGACACTATTTATGTTAAATGCAACGTAGTTCGATTTCGTTTCAGTCTTTAATCAAGTCTTTCGGGACCGAGACACACGTCGCAGACCTGTGTTCTTCGTTTTAACATCTGTGGGCGACATCGGGTTGTTGTTGTTGCTCGGTGAAGCTGCACTTTTGTTGGTCAGGGAAATCTTGGGCGTTTTTTTACGTCCCACACCAGTCTGCCTCGAGTTTTCCAACTCCACCTCCAGAGTGTGCTGCGTCTCTGCGGCCTGCTGCACTTTTATGTGCTGCAGTCCCTGTGTCAGACCACCAGAGGGAGACAAAGGACAACTTTTAAACAGAGGGAGACTTTTACATCATGACTATACAAATAGTATTTTCATTTAAAACATCACTTAAACACTCAAGTAGGGATTACCACAAAGCACGTACATCAGGCGTGTTTGTTTTGGTAGC